AGTCTAGCATTCGCTAAAGGGACTGATGTCCAGTCTAGCATTCGCTAAAGGGACTGATGTCCAGTCTAGCATTCGCTAAAGGGACTGATGTCCAGTCTAGCATTCGCTAAAGGGACTGATGTCCAGTCTAGCATTCGCTAAAGGGACTGATGTCCAGTCTAGCATTCGCTAAAGGGACTGATGTCCAGTCTAGCATGCGCTAAAGGGATATTTATCCGGCCTAGCACAATCGTCTCCAGTTCTAATACTGATGAGTGATGATAACGTAGTAGTTGTGGTAAGCTGAAGGGTTAACCGAACCCGCACAATATTGAAAGCTTTTGTTAAAGGTTATACTAGATAGAGATTAGAAATGCCAGGATGATCGAACGGGTTGTTATCTTATTCCCAGATGCTCGGAAAACGCTCGAGGACGAGCGTACGTCAGTATGGCCGTGTCGGCGCCGCCGTCATTATTTTGTAAACTGCGAATGTAATGGGCGAGCAGTGAACAAACAACTGACCGACGTCACTTCAACCCCACCACCGAGTGATATATAAAGCAGCGCAAGCGCAAGCTCGAGTCAGTCGTTCGTCGATCGTTGCCCAGTTCACACGTTACGCAATCGCTGAGTAATTTTATTGTTGGTTTTATTTGAGTGTTTCCTTTATATAATCAGTGCTGAATTATTCAATTATTATAATTAAAAATTAATGTGAAAGTAAGTTCATTTAATCGAAATAAACTAAGTGATTGTGTGAAGCCCTTTGTTTTATTTTCAAATAATGTCGGACCCTGATCCTACATATAGTTGTTGGTTTTCCAATTCATAAATAAATAAATAAATAAATGAAACTCAAAATATTTATAACACAGTTTATTGAAAATAATAAACTTTTTGTTTGCTTATTAGTTTACAATCAAAAATATTCATTTATAGCGTTATCAACTAAACAGTACTCAATTATACAATAAAAGCATTGTATTTAAACTATCATATTATATTGTATTCATTATATATCTACAGACATATATTGGTACTTTATACAGCCAAAATATTTTATGCGCATTGAAATGGAACAGGAATAGTACTATGAAAACTCGCCTCAACTGAGTTGGATACAATTTACATATACATAGCGGTATTTCTAGTGAGTTTTCAACATGGCGATCAGAGAGAAACCGCGGGAAACTTGGCAAATCCAATTCTGCGAGGCGTGCTCCCGTAGTACCCTCAAACTTAGTTCGCAACTCCGAGTCTGCTCCATGTTTAAATCAAAACATTGTATCCTACAAACTAACACGACTTTATTGGCACTTTATATATTTAATTTATTCATTTATTTTGTTCCATTACCTTACATCCTAATCTATTTACAAGCATTATTTTTATTTTAATCTGCAAATAAATACATTAAAAATGTACAGGGCTTAATCAATAATAATCATATTTTTTTATGCGAAACTTTTCAAATCCATAGAAAAGTTTATTCAAATTATTTATGTACGCATTTAAATCCAATAATGTTATTTAATTTATCCATTCGAGATTATTTTTGGACGGGTTTCATAATTAAGACTTTACTTATTTTTATAGCAAAGATTTGAGTCATCCACAATTAACAAATATGATTGAAATAATTTTGCTTTAATAGTATAATTAGTACATTTATGAGTTGTAATAAATTGGTATTAATAATTTAATATTTAAATTAATGAGGTGTTTATTGAAAATGGATTAATTTTATACTAGGTTTCATCGAAGCTCCACAGAATGTAACTTAATAATAATATCTGTATACAGAATTGCACTGAAATGTACATTTATTTACCAATATTAATTAATAACGTGGTTATAAACATGATTTAAAAAGATTAAAATATACAATACTTTAATTGGTTCCATGGGTAAGCCATATTAATTGAATCGAGCTCCCTAATAAGCTACTTACGTTAATATCACTTTGGCAATTGCCTACCATTTAATTATTTTACATTTTTTAGAAGTAAAACAAAAATAAATATCTCAAAATGTATTCGCATTAGAGAACAGAGTGGGACGACTTGTAAAGGAATATTTTAAACCGAACATCAAAGGAATTCATTATTTCGTGTCCAAACAAACTGACATTCGTCAACTAATCGAAATAATTATTTATTCGTCCTCCGTACTCCAGCACCTTTAAGCCTAAAGGCGCACAAAAAACTTTCCTTCGAAAATTCCAATTCATTCGTCGAAAGCAAACAGTTACTAACATTAAATATACATACGTAGTCTTCGTTAATGACAAGAATTACTTTCGTATCACGAATCGGACTTATAAGAATAGAATTTTTTCGTGTTCGGCGCTAATTAGTGCACCTACATAATTTTGAATATAAAAGGGTTTTGCTTATAATATTTTCTATCTAAGTGGTGCGGTAAAGCTTACGCATCGCGCTATATTTACTTTATACAGTACATACAGTAATTGCAATATAATTATATATATATTTATGTCGCTTTAAACTATAACAATGTTATAAGGCACTGCCTTATACCTACATTGTACTTATATATAAACTTATATATAATGTCCAATTACTTGACAATTCTGTGTAAAATTCACAGTAGGTTCAATTAGAGGAGCGTCTTGTTCTTTAATCCTAAGAAATAGGATACACCTATTTCATTGAACAAAGAACATCGCCGGTCCATTCCGTATTACTTTTTTATTCAGAATAAAAGCGATTGTGCTATAAAAACTGCTGGTCGTTTATTTTTTTCAAGGATTTCAAGTGAAATAGAATTGTATTTAAATATTATTTTAAATAATCTCCAATAAATCAAGCGTTTTGGAACACTATGACATTCAAAAAATGTATATGTAAAAGTATATTTTATTACAACAAAGTAAACAGTTACAGATAACTAAGAATGATTGAATAGGCTTTCCAATTAATTCAGTCACTATCTAAAGGTAGATTTAATACAATTCATTTAAAAATAGTATTAAATAGCAAGTGACCAGTCACATTTGTCGTAGAATACGAGCATTAAACATTAATCTAAGCCAAATATCAGTATACCAGTTTACGTCATTGTCGAGACAAAATGGCTTTTCCAGAATATTAATAGCTTGACAAAAACTTGAATTCCATCGTCAATTCCACGTATATACATGTTTAACTATATTTGCAAGCTCATTCCTCATTTATTCCTACAGTTCCAAAGCGTATAAACACGTTAGTACAAACACTATCACTATTAACTGCTTTATCTATTTCACACAATACGGTAGTCTCTCCATTCAAGTACCTAATAACATTTTATTGCACCATATAAAGTCAGTAATTGCACGGGCCTTACTGAAGCGCTATAGAGGCGTCTCGTCACCGGATTCGCTATACGGCAACCTAACTACCTTAGTTCCTGCTAACACGCCGACGCCCTCCAGACACGACCTCCTATTTGTGAGCACATCTCGCAGGAATGCTCGTCTGGAACCGGCTAAATTAGTCCCCGTAATAGACCTCGTTAATTTCCTCAGCGCAGGCATTTTTAGTGCCTCTTCATATGAAGGTGGCTCATCAGTAGGCGTAGTTTGTGCACGACCACCAAACGGATCTCTGGAACAAGTTGGCGATAATTCTCTAGAGAAATATAATGTAGTTTCTCCGTTTTCACTTACTTGAGGTTCTGGCATTTGTTCGTAACTTGTTTGTGAATTTGATGACCTAAATTCTTCTAAGATCTGCCTGGCACTTCTTGCGGTTGTAAGAACTCCCGCCCAAGAGCGTCTGTTAAGCTGCTTTGCTTCATTAGATCTGGCTGTCGCAGAAATGTTCTGTGTGGAATGTGTAGTGGCGATAGTAACTTTTGGTCTTCGTGGAGGTTCGTCAAATGACGCTGCTTTAGCTGTCCTAAGTGGAGATGATCGAGCTTCGGGCTCCATATCTATAACAACTCCAGCTGCAGCACTGTCAGTGCCGTCATCTGCGGCTGCTGCTGCTGGTTCTTCTCTAAGTGCTGCGTCAATACGCATAGCTTCAGAATAAGAGGGTACTAAGGCACAGTTTCCACGTATTGCAGCAAATAGTTCGAGACTGTCGACAGTGGAAGCGTGTGAGAGGGGTAAGGTACGAGGTGGACGGGGAGCTGAACACAGCACAGCACTTTGCTCATCAGCAAGTGCCCACGCGTAGTTATTGGCAGTCACTGGTGGCAAAGTATCTGACATGTGAGTATCAATATCTAACTGCCTACTGGGATCTAATTCATAATTCGTTCCAAATATCTTCGTAATCTGCAACAAAATAGACGGAATATCAAATAAACATTTGGGTTGAAACAAGGGCTCGAGGCAATTTTAGTTAACATGTTTGTACAACGTTGTATAACAATCCGGTTGTATCAAATAATGAGATCAAAGCTTATTGTGTTCTCGAAATGAGATTATATTATTTATTAGGTAAAATAACACGAAGTTATTACACTGGCAATAACTGGGCGTGTTCCAACGATAATGATGGGTTTAGGAGAGATTATGATGTCGTAATGCTTTGAGATACGCATCTAAAACGTATTTTCTGTGCAAAATTCAACTCACCGTATAATGTACATAAGCTGTATTGCATTCTATGAGTATACGCAGAGGCCACGAGAGAAGGAGACAAGAAAGAGTCCAGAAAAGCAGTTGAGATGAATACCACGGACATCGGTCAGCATCCCTGTAATACAAATGACTTAAATACTAACACATTTGGGCTATACTTTGCAAGATATCAAGGTATAATAAACCTTCTGATAATTACCTATAAGCTACCATATATTCTTTGAATGAGCTGACTCCGATTAGGTCCAAGCCTTCGCGCATTTCCATGAAGTCGTCGAACCTTTCGTGCTCAGCGAAGAACCTTGATCTTTGGTCTTCGAATTCTAGAAAGAAATGTTTATTTTAGTTTTCTTTGTAATTTTATAGTTTAGTCCTATTTGTAATTTTACTTGTTAGGTTCTGAATGAATCAGAATATGAATACTGTTTGAATCTGAAATACGAATGAGAATTTTGAGTTTTGTTTCTATTTTGCTATTGGTAGTATGAACATGACACTTCGATTACGGAAAACTCAACATCCCGCCTTTTATCCCCGAAGGGGTAGGTAGAGGTGTACATTATGCCACTGTACAATGCAACACCCACTTTTCACTATTTATGTTATGAGTCCCATGTAATAGGGGGTGAGCCTATTGCCATGTACCGAGCACAGTTCCAGACTAAAATAAAAATAATCAATTATCTTAACTAATAGTAACTTTTACGATGCTATTAGTACTATAAGTAACTATAAGTTAAAAACTTACCGCTAGCCGCTTCAATATTGGCAAATGCGAAGCCTTTACTAAAGCGTACTTTGGTGATTGGCGTCTTGGAATCCAGAACCAGATTTCTGGAAGCATCTCGCTGCCCACAACAGGCGTGAGCAAAGGATGTACTGGCACTGTGAGTGTTTACCCTCTCGTAGTAGACCTAGTAACAAAAGCAAACAATGTTAATGTCTCATTTACTTGGTAGGTCTCGTCTCACCCGGGCGAGAAAAATCATTGGATGATTTTCCCCCTCAAGAAAAAATTATACCGAACTTGTTATGTCGAGCTTCAAATGAATATGTATTGATCTTGGATTTCCTATTCCTGATATTATGCAATAGGTTCAAAATCAAAATCTATTTTGTTCATATTTTACAGCACATAAGTCCACTTCATACCTTAAGAGGTAGCATAACATAAGATCACGCCTTTTTATCCCCGAAGGTGTAGGCAGAGGTGCACATTACGACACTTGCCACTGTACAATGTAGCGCCCACTTTTCACTTTTATATTATGACTCCCATGTAATTAGGGGTGAGCCTTTTGCCATATACCGAGCACAGTTCCAGTGCTATTACTGAGATTTTTTTGGAAACCCATTAATACTTTGCCCGACAGTAATACTTTCTTCGAACTTCAGACCCCTTGCCCGGCAGTAAACCTATACCTTAAGAGGATAATGGAAAAGATTCCATAATAAAACTGAAGCTCAATAGCATTTCTAAAATTGAATGTACATACAACAAAAGCAAGAACTTCAAGCGATCACGCAACGCTCGTGCTATTTTTGTCAAATTGCATGTTTTGTACCCATCACAAACAATGCATACATCAATATGCAGGGCACAGTTTTCGATCCGCTCAAAGGTAACCAAACCAAACAATTACTGTGTGTCTAACCCAGTTCAGCGGTGAAAGCGCCTGATGGGTTTTTGACATGTTTGGAAGCAGCTAAAGTGGCTTTATACAGCGATAGATTTATTAAATACTAGATTTTACTCGCGTCACAAAAGAATAAAAAGTAGCCTATGTGACATATACCAATACACACACCGCCATCTATACCAATACTTTTGTTTTTCCTCGGGAATATCAATTTCTTCCGGGATGAAAAGTACCCTATTATTTAATTCGAACTTTTAACTTTATGTCTGCAAACTTCAAAGCAATCGGTTAAGTAGTCTATTTCATTGAACTCCTCCTAAACGGCTTAAACGACTTAAATGATTTTTTTTCTGTATTATTTTGAGTTGCGCTCTAGTTGGTTAAGATTCAGAAATCAGCCCGGCAGATGGCGCTATTGGTCTTGCCTTTCATACCATTTTTAATACCCTTATCGCTTGAAATATCATAGTATACAGGACAACGTCTGTCGGGTCCGCTAGTAATGTATAATATTTGAGTATAATTCAGACGAGTGATATCTTAATAACGTGATTATAACAACGAGTGAACTTAACATTATTATTGTTTTGTTGTAATTTCTTCCTCATTAATACCTTATTGACAAACAGTATACCTAAAAGAGTCTGAATACAATGCCATTGATAGTCATTAAAAAAATATTCTCATAACATCAGCGTAATATTAGAAGCCTTCAATCAACTAACTGGTTAAACAAACTTGAGTAGTTTGTAGTACACATAGCCGCTGCCAATACCCAAAGGAACAAGCTGAGCTGTGGTCGTAGCCTTCGCCGTAATCCCAATTGTGGAACAAGGAACCCGTGTCAAGGTCTTTGTCATTTTACGAAGATTTTTTTGCTACTTGCAAATACAAGCTGGGCGGGGCAAGCACTAGTCAGTTGAACTTCACTAAGTCAAAATGATATTGACCAGAAGTGGTATTTGGCATGCAGATAAGAAATTAAAGATTTTTTCCTTAAAGAGATAGTACCCACATTAATAACAATAACATTATGTCTGTCTATCCCTGAAGCGAATAAGCGATAGGCAGAGGTGCACATTACGGCCCTTATTGCCACAATATAACACCCACTTTTCACTATGTATGTTATGAAACCTATGTAATAGGGAGTGAGCCTATTACCATATACCGGACACAATACTAGACTCCGTACTACTACGGGAACCGAACCCGAAACTCCTTGCTCGGCGATCGCACTTGCCAATGAGGCAGTCAGTATCCATCTATTTAATTTTTTTTGAACTTATACAATTGAATAAAGCTCAGTAGTCTTCCCGCATGTTTACATTAAGAATTTAATTAATTTTTGATTTTATGCTTAAATAGGGAAACCTACAATAATATTACTATTGCAAAAAAATAGGGAGTCATATAAATCTGTCCACAGGCTATCTAGCTTATCCCATTCATACTGTGAAGTAACAAGCTGTCTCTCCCATATACCAGTATCCGACATCGCATTTATTGTGCTGACATATTGCTCGCTATACCTTTCCATTAGTCGACTATCCGATATGATTTCTTCGCATTTTTGTTTTATTTTCAACAAATAGAATTGGTACTTGGAACACCACTTTAGAAATATCGTCGTCAAGTTATTTTGTAGACTGGCTTTTATCAATTTATTGGTTTTATAGGCAATTTAGTTCGAGAAATGAGTTAGGAGATATTTGTTGGTAGATATGGGAATCGGTTTTGCGTTTTATTACGACTGTTGATGCTTGTCGATTTTCGCTATAGCGTAGAATTGTTTTAGCATCGTGTCCTATCGTATATTCATCAGAGTTTATTTATATAATACTTAAAGAATATGAATTAAAACACCTTACTAATTATTCGACTGAAGTTTATCGTAGCTTAGTAAATCTATACCTACATATATAATAAACAAGATCTTTATCCGCAATGACGCTAATCGATTAATAATGACCTCCAAAAAGATTGATTAACTAAGAAGCATTCTAAGTGTTTTATTTACAAAATACTTCAGTAGTGAAATGATTTATTGTCTTTTAAGAAATTGAGATTCAAGAAAAATACCCACGTTTATAATTTACCTACCGATGTAATTTACATGTCTCGATCAGTAATATTAAAACCAGACCTTAAATAAATCTACTGTGTGAGTCGCCTTCAGTAGAAAATGAAGGTTCGGAAGAAAAAGTGCTACTTACTTCTGTTTGTAAATAGTTTAATCATACCATAAGACTTGTTTCTTTCTCCGAAACTATTGGTCCAGTATGATAAGCTATTTATTGAGGAAGTTTATAGAGGATATAAAAGATGCCGCTACAATTAAAAGGAGCCGAGAAGAGCAAGTGAAGCCACGCGGGAGCAGCTAGCTTGAAATAAAAATATCAGTAGGTACAGGTCTATAATACTTACCTGTGTAGTTGTATAGGCATCTCCGTTTCTATATCGCGTGACTTGCCGCTTACGTCGCACGTAGTGGTAGCATATTGCCTTCCACCTGCAAAGACGATCACTTATTATATTTAGAATACATTACGCAGTCTAAACGCGTACACGTAATCAATAACTGCGAAAATGCGGACGTGTACCGTCTTTGTGTGTATGTATGTGTGCCTAAAAAAAAGTTAATTTAAAATGTGTTCTATTTTTGAGTGTGTATTAAATGATTGAATTTTTTTCATAACTTTATTCATGATCTTTTAGATGATTGGACTTGTTTGTGTTGCCAGGATAATATCTACTTGAGTAGATACATTTATTGAGGTTAATTAATTAATTTATTTATTTATTTATTTATTTATCACTACACTTACATCTATCATTACAGGTTTAACCTAATGTATAAATATGAGTGTATTCCATAATCAATCTTTTTTATTTTTCATTTAAATACATTATGTACACCTTAACTTACTGTACAAGTTGATTAATTATGTGTACATTTTCTATGCTTATGAGTTCCACGTAAGTATTAGATATGTATAATATTCTTTCCCCAAAAATACGTTGATCTTTACAAACGTTATCCTTGTTTTTCTTTCTGTATCAGCCCTTAAAAATACCGATATAAAAAACAAAACAAATTCACAACTGAACGAATTCTGTTCGACCAATAAAGGGATCTTATCTCGTCTGTGACATTTTTCGATTGATGTACGACTAGTATTTATTTCTTGGATTTTTTTCGGAATCAATCAGTAAGACGGTTGATTGAGCAACGGGGACCAGTTTAAATTGTACGAATTTTATGTTTCTCGGTATTTTTATTTGAGAGTATAAGATCATTTCAGCATAACATCACGCCTTTTATCCCCGAAGGGTAGGCACAGGTGTACATAATGACCCTGTACAATGTAACACCCACTTTTCACTATTTATGTTATGAGTCCCATGTAATAGGGGGTGAGCCTATTGCCATATACCGGGCACAATTCCAGACTAAGTGCTACTACGGAGCCGCGGAAGACTTAACGGGTTGCCGGGGCTCCGGCTCGAAGTGCAGGAGTTGGAACGGGGTGGTATTTAGTCTGTAAGAGTCTGACACCCCCTCTCGCTTCACCCGGGCGGAAGAAGTCATTGGATGATTTTCCCCTCAAAAAAAAAAAGACTCCGTGCTACTACTGAGGATCATTTCAAAGATACTTTTATCGTACTAAAAATTCGCTTTTATGACCTTTAGACTTGAGGTAGTCTAATAAGCGCACTAATGAAACTAAATAAATAAACAATAAGACCACAAAGTCCATATATAGGCAAGCCAATTTTGAAGTACTACAAGTATCATTAGAATTTCTTATTAACGCAGAATATTTTACAAATGTCTATACAAAAATGGACATAAAAATTTAAGACTACAGATATTCCTGTACAAATTACATTATCAGATACAAAAACTTTGAAATACAGGATACTAATAGAATATAGGTATGCCTCACACACATTCATAACCAATTTCATATTTACAAAAGTATATTACCGTATAATTTGCAACAATTTTAACTTAATTACAATTCTGAGATTTTAATGGAATTACAATTACAAACTCAAAGGGATTGGACCTTTATGTTCCAAGTCTATAAATAGTCCATGAAAATGAATTTCCCGTACGTAACCTGACGGAGGCGTACAACGTACAGACGACGACACTTTTCTACTGAATCAGTCTTCATTTTCGTGCCTGCATACTAAATAATTGGGTACTTGCTAGCTAGTCAAATTCAATACATTTATCGAACTATCAAAAACGACACTTTTCTTTTAATTTTGTACGAAATTGTGTATTAAATTAAAGTAAAAACGCGGGTTACTCACGTGAATATACTGAGAAAAGCTCTACTAGTTTCGAACCACAGAGGGGTTCTTCCTCATGAGCAGCGTGCGCGATCGCGGCGACGTTGCGCACCTCACTCTCAGATTGTGTATTGTGACGTCACGTTTTTGAGCGTCAAATACCATTTTTATTTCTTAAAAATTTGCTAGAAAAGTACTAAAATTAGGTTAGTCATAAAATCAATTAATGAAAGTGTTATTATATTTTTATATTTTATTATATTTAACACGTTAAACGCCATGGCAGACACCGGTGACCGACATTAGCGGAGGATTTGCCTTCAACAGTTTTTTATTGGCAGCCAATGCCTTAACAGTCGAAATAATTTATTTTTGATTAAAGCAAAAACCTTATTGTTACTGCACACTGTACATAACCTGACGGAGGCGTACGTACGTAGGCCGTATACTTGATTAAAAGGGTAACGATTACCTGGAACAAACAGTTGCTGTAGTAACGTTTTGACGAGGTGTCGTAAAGGCTCATACGGTTTATGACTCCACACGGATCTGAACCGATTTTGCAGGGTGTTTAATAAGATGTATTGGGGTGTTCTATTTCGTTTCAGTCGTGTTATTCTTTGTTTAAAAAAATGGATTTTTTGATAAAAGGCTTTCAGTTTATGTAGAACTTATCTATGAGCCGTAAATCGAATCATAAACATGAAAATTACTGAC